GTTGTAGGAGGTTAGTGACAAAAGGGATCAACTGGCCAGAAGATCCAGTCTTAAAAAGTACCTACAAGAAAGGAACTGTCGGAAGACTCTTCCTTGAAGATTCTGACATTAAAATGATAGGCGCAAGCTATGGAGGGGTAGCTGATGATCCAGCATATGCAGCATCTTCCTCAAACTACCGAGGCAATTCAAAAACTCAGATCATAACCAGCAATAGGCGAAACCTACCAGCATGTGTTGATTTTAGTCCATTTCAAACCATGGAGCTGAGCTTCTCAAAAGTAGACTTTCACGATTATATTGTCTCTATTTCTGATCTTTTTAAAACTGGAAATTCTGAGACTGCTACAAAAACTAAGTTCTGCCAAAGGGAACTCAGTTTGAAGTTGGTGTGTAGTCAAATCTGAACTATTAAGCTCATTTCCCCTTTAATTCCTTTAATGCTTATTAGCTGGGTGGGTCCAAGATGGATTTATCTGTTTTTAGCAGTAAAAAGCAATCATGAAGTTCAGGTTTGAATCCAGCTCAATGATGAGAGAAAAAATCTGGGGTTCTACATCCTGGACTTTGAGCATTTGTCTAACCAGTGACGGTTCAGAGGTAGGAGATAAAGAGAAAGTCCTTATTTTATTTGATACAAGTTTTTTGTTCCTAACTGGAATCCCTAATTCCTTTTTTTTTTTTTTTCTGTAGGCAACTCAGATACCATCATATAACCTTGAGAGCCCAGTACAGAAAAGCCATGTGTCACCTTCTGATAAATTGGGAGGGATTTAATTAAATGAACATATATAAAAGACACATGAATGAGAGATGGCCCAGGAGCTCTTCTAAATTAGCTTAGCAGGAGGAAAAAAAAGAGTGAATGTCCATCAGTAGTGTAAGTGAAGGGCATTGCTTTTTATAATATAACCAAGTAGAATCACAAAGGTTAAGAAAACTTACAGCATTACCTGCCTCTGAGTTCTCTAGGTTGTTACCATACGCCAGCTGACTGAAGGGAAGGAAATAAAGTGCTTATTTAACCAGAAAGAATGAATTTTTACTGTTAAGTCTTATACAGAAGAATCAAAACCACCAGGTGACTTCTGATGACAAATGCTCAGCTTCTCAGGGTCTGAGGTACTCCCAGTGGAATAAAGGCAAAAATTTGAAACCTACCTCCTGTTTTACATTTTTATACCTGCCCCATTCCAAATAGGTTTTTAGTACTAAAAATTCCTGTAACACAATAGAGATGAAAGTCCCTCTATGTTTGCTCTTTAAAATAAAGCTGATAATGTAAAAAATACCTCAACATATATTATTGGCTATGATTCAAATTGTTTACAGAACAGGGGTTCCAGCAGGCCCTAAAATGGCTCCTCTCTCGTGTGAATCTGGTCCCTAGGAGAGCAGGGATTCAAAGGAGACGAGCTGTTGAAACAATACCAGGAAATGTGTGTACAAAGCTAATTTTTAAAATTATATTTACTTATAAAAAGGAGCCTTAAAAAGAAATATCAGAGGAAAAAATTCTGCTGCAAACTGGAAGTCTTGTGATTCTGCAGCAAGCAGGCTAGGAGAAAGCAGGTGAGAAAAACCAAAGCATGCTGCTTGCATTTTGCTACAGGAATTCAATCATGACACTGAAAGGCAGCAGGTAGAATCCAGCTCAATGCAAATTAAAATCGTATATCTGAACACAGGGAGGAGATTTTATCATCTAGGCTGTTTCATGCCTTTATTTAAACTAAGTTTCCCTGAGGAGGAGAAAAACAGAAATCAAACCAACAAACCCCAGAAGGTTCTTTTTTTGTGTGATGTGTTTTTTAAAATCCAGATTCAGCTCTTAGTAGGCCAGCTCCAAACAGTTGTTTTAACAAGATTAGCTCATTTCAAAATCCATGGTACTATTTTTGGCATCCAGACCAACGTGTCTCTGCCAATTCTCCCCAAGTAACAGTGCTTCTGAACTCTTTTATGTTGTACAGCCACTCTGTGTTGTCCTGAGGATTTTGCTCCAGGGGATACATCACTTCATCAGGGAGCTGGACGAGTTCTTTGTGCTTTGTCATTATAGAGACAGGTTTTGACAGGGCAGCTAATGTTCCCTTGGCACCCAGAAGATTTGCGTGAGAAGACAATAAAATGGGGCGGGAGCAGTAGGGTAGGAAAAAGAGTCCTCTGTCAGTCCTCTGTAAAGACACCAGTGCTTTCTGTGACAAGAGCTGTGGACAGATGGAATTTATCCCATTTACTCTTAATTACAGTGAACTGGAAGCCCTTGTCTCTGACAGAGAATCTGCAGCATGGGCTGCATGAGACCTTGGAAGATACCCGGATCACTATTATTCTGTGGCTGGCATGGGCAAAAGACAACAGTTAAATATATTGCATCCTTCATGTCAGAACCCTGCACTGACTGTTTCCCCTAGGAAATTGGGTCTTCCCTGGCCATCTTTTGATTATTGCTTCACACAGTCTGCAGCAGTGATGCTGAGGCTGTTACAGAGTGGCAAGAGGGTCCTGATGCTAGGTGGCCTCTGACTGCCCAGATCAGGTGTCTCCTTTAACAGATTGGGTCCTGGGGTCAGCTGGGATACACAGGGTTTGACAGGATGGTTCCCAGGACCCCCTTAGTCTGTCCAAAGTGATGCCTGCCCTAGTGAGGCTACAAGAACAAAGATGCTCAAAGGTGTCTCGGTGCCACTTTTCATCTCTAGATCTTTTCTTGGTCCCACATACAAGCACAGCCCCCCTGATTTGGCTTACTATGCAAATGGCTTATCCAGGGATGAAATTACTGCTGCTCCAACCTCTTTTTAAAGTCTGTAGCTAGAGCCCAGTAGATTGCAGAGTGGCTAATCCTCCTACAGCCAGAATTATAACAGGCAGATCAAATTATGTCTACTTTCCTGGCCTGCTTCTTGGCAGGGTAAATAGCCACGTGCACTAATTCATCAGCCAGCTTGGAAATATGGCCTGTACTCAGATGGTTTAAGACAGCTCCCCAGGAGCTTGTGGAAGTCTGGTCCCGTGTACTGTGATCCTTGCTGACAATTAGCTTGGGAAGCAAAGGCCAACCAAACAACCAGACCTGTTCTGATGTTCTCTATCAGGCACGTGCAGACATTTAGTTTGTGTTAGCCTGAAGAGTGGGAGGGATACTTCCAGTTAGACTCTGAAGCACACGCTTGTTCTCTAAGTGCTGCCTTCTTCCGTGACAGCTACACAGTGTGGTTACCCCAGCACAACAGAACAATTAAAATGCATGAGATCAATAAGGGAGACATTTAGAAAACCATCATTTCCTAGTGTCTTGAGAAAAACCCTACAAAAATGGCAATAAAATTGGTTTTAGCAGCCTTGAATTTGCTTCCAAGTGCATAATGATTGCATGCATTTCCCTTGTGAACTCAAGTCACAATTTTGTTGTCACTTTTCCACTGGCATCACAACTAAGAGATGCTGAGAAACCTGACCAGTTTAGATAACACACTAGTGTATGCTCTATAAATGCTAGTGGTTTGTCAGCTAACTAATAGAACTGAAAGGAAATATATTTTTCATCTAACACGCAATGTCAGAAATTTAAAGGCTTTTCCCTTTCCAAAACAGTGTGAAAACAACCAACCAAAAAATGTCATGAATCTCAGAGGAAAAAAGATAAGGTTGCTTGCAACTGTTTCATTTGTTTCATGTCAGCAAGGAGATCAAACCACAGCCTTTTCTACTGGTACCAGAGGCAGCTCAGCACCCTGCAGGGTAGACCTAAAAGTGATACAGCATACAGGGAAATCAAAGGAAGCTATTCTCCCTCAGAGATTAGAGCAACAGCAATTTCATTTGCCCTTCACTGTCATTCCGCTTGCAGTTTCTTTTTCTGTTTCTCAAGAACTGGTGTCCTGGTAAGGGGAAAATTCTGCTCCCCCCTCTCTATACCTGCCCCTAAACAAAGCTTCCTATTCTGGAAATGCCTGAAGAGATCTGATCTGCCTAGAATCAATATACTTATGCCTCTTCTTGACAGAGCTGACCCTTGCTCAGCCATCATTTGGTTTTGGAGGGGCATCTGCACAGACTTTTGCAGGCTCTGACACATGCCCATGACCAGACAGAAGCCATCTACAACCAGGAAGCCACATAGCTGTGCTGACGCTGAGAGACCAGGCCAAAATGAATGGCAGAGAGAGATGTAGGAAATCAGGATTTGCTATTTTCCTATGCAGCCTTAGTTCCTGGGGCTCAAATTGGAAGACTTCAGAAGAACGTACCCATTTGTTGCATGCATACCAAATAGGCTATGCAGTGGGTGCTTATACTCAGAGACACAATGTTAGATTGTTAAGCTTATATTGGGTTTTAAGAATACACACCAAAAAAAGAAATCTGTGAAAAACAAAGATAAATTTGGGCCTAAAACTGCTTGATACCCTTTCTTTAACAACTGCACTGTTAGTCAGCTTACTGGAGGCTAAAACAGCCTTGTATGGTCTTAAGCTGTGGTCACATTTCCATGGTCTTCTCCATAATTTGTCTAAGAGCTGTTTTATTCATCAGAAGTCAGTAAAATAAACCCAAACCTGAGTGCATTTTCCCATGATGAGAGAATTTGGAGATGGCAGAGATCTATTAGATAATTTACTCCATCTCCCAGCCAACGCAGAACTGGTCCCAATAATGTATTTGTCATTGTTTTATTCAATGTAGTTTTAAAATTCTCAAGATTGCAGCTAAATCCTTCTTCTGAGTGAGACATTTTTCCTGACATTCAAGTCAGGCCTTTCCTGCTGGCTATGTTGCCTCCACTGTCCATCTTAGGACTGCAGTTCTTTGGCTTTGCCACATGCTATCGAGGTAAATTGTTGCTAGTGCACTGGGGGAGTAAAGCATCGATGGCTCTGACATTTCTAAATGAGCACCAGGCAAAGAGCAGAGAGAGTTGAGAATCCAGGTTCTTCTGCAAATTGTTTCTCCCTCTCCGGGTTTCACACATTCCCCATTTTCAGCTCTTTTACCTTGTTGATGAGGCTGGGATCACCCAGGCTGCTCTCTTCGTCTTCTGAACTCTTCTGTTCTTCATCTGACGTGACGACCTCCACGGGTACCACAGAGACTGGGCACACCTTGTAGGGCTCAGTGTAGGCACTGCAGAGAGAAAGAACAGGCTAGCTCACTGCTGTTATTCCCGGACACTTGCTATTGTTCAGACATAACAAATCCACACATTGCCCAGAGATAACCAGTCAGGGGGCAGGGAATCCCTGCAGACCTGCTAGGCTTGGAAAGCAAGATGTCTCATGCTTTGGTTTTTTGCTGCCAGGTTCAACAGCAACCATTTAGGCAAGTAGAAGGATCTGAAAACAGCAGTGGGAAGTTAACTGAACTTGTTCAAGCTTCCCCAAAGGATCAATGCTCTGGCTCAGTTTGGAGCAAAAAGTTAATACTTAGTTGCAACCAGAACTGCTTTGTTCCTCCTTAGTCAACCCCTCAAAATGGATGTAATAAAATCATACTAACATCTCAGTGCTCATTAAAAATGGAAGTTAGATATTGTAACAATGGGTTTTCTGGGAAAACATCAAAAGGATGAGAAAAGTATAATTGTAATACCAATGGCATCAATTAAAGGTACTCAGATCCCAGAATCCTTGAGTTGTTTCAAGGGAATCTGAATTCAGCTCCAGAAACCCAGAGAATGCCATGCGATAAGAGTACTGGATCTGGTGTGTAATACAGGCCAGTGGCTTCCCAGCATTTTCTTTTAGAAAAAAAATCTATTTTTAAAATTAAAATTGCCAGTGATTTCAAAACCTCCACAAAGCATGACTAGAGGTGGGTTCTCCACATGGTGCCTGCCCTTTGCCTTAGAAAGGTGTCTTTTATTGCTGATCAAATATGCCTAGCTCCAAATTCCAGATACTGGATCTTGTTAAACCTTTGTCTGCTGAATTGGAGGCAGTCTTCCAAATTTTGTTACTGTGTAGGTACTCACAGGCTGTATTCAGGTTGTCCCTTCATTTTGTCTTTAATATGAAATAGATTAAGATCTTGGTGTCTTACTATGTCATGCCTCCCATCATTTAATCATTCTAAAATCTCTGAACTTTATCCAATTATCCATTAGCATCATCCAATTTACTAACAATTTTAGCACTGGTTTTTACTACCAGCCAGTTTTAGTACTGTTCTTGGTACTGCAATACAAGACTCAATATTGCAGCACTGGCAAAAGAAGTGCCAAGTATACCAGTGGTCACACCCATCTATTCCTGCCTGACTTTACTGTGTTTTTACAGATTAGTGGTTTTGGCCACAGTATCATTCTGGGAGCTTATATGCAGCTTATAAACCACAGTGGCCCAAAGCCTTTTACATTTCCAGGGGTAGGTTCCAGCATTCAGCCAACAGGGCAAGTCTGTTGTCTTGAGAAACAAAATCTGACATCTCCGTGTGTTCCAGTAGACATCTTGGCTAACCAGGTTGGTCGGTAACGTGGGCCTAGCTTACTCAGTGTATATGATTTCTTTAGTTCTCATTTCCTCTGAAACAAACATTAATTTGCTTTCGCAGCTCTGCCTCATCTCTTTATTTTTCTTTGATCTCCCACTTGGGAATCCCAGATGTGAACAAAGCCAAAGTTTCAAAGCCAATGCTAGAGTGACAGGAGGCTGGGCAAAGATGGGTTAATGTAAGTGGGAAGGCAATGAAGAAAAACTCCCAAGGCCACTGACCAGACTCAAATTTCCTTTCGGATGGAAAACTCCCTACATATCTGCATTCACTTCCAAGCTGCAAACAGGGCTCTGTGTCTCCCATGCAGGTGTGGCTGCCAGCCTTTCTTTTATGCCACCAGCTTTTCCCTTATGCGCAGAGTCAAGGAGCTCTCGCAAACTGCCTGATGCATTTGCCATGGCTGGGCAAAGGGCCAAGCAGCAGCACTGTTCCTCTTGTTTATTATTAGTGTCTGCAGTTTTTCAGTGTGGGCGGCATCACCGCACTTCCGAAAACCTGCCTAGCTACAACAACAAAGGGGCCTTAGCACAAGTGAAAGCAAGAGCAAGGCAGATACAGGAACAGCTCAGGAGGCTTATTAATAGTTTAGCCAGTCTCTCTCCTTATTTGCACAGTCTTTCTGCAATTTGTAATTGTTTGCCCCAGCAGACATGAAATTAAGTCCCTCCCTCCTCTCTCTCTCTCTCTGATAAATGACTGCATTATGTTAATGTAAGAACACATAATAATTTGGGAAGAATGCCTCAGTATATTAGTCTGGTAATCATTATGAATGGCATTACTAAAGGCTCATACAGCAGCAAAACTTGCAATATTGCTGAACTGTTGCATAGGCTTCATTTATAGTAGGCCTGCAGTCCAGTGGCACTGGCTTGTGCCAGTCCCAAAATATTACGGGTCTCATTTGCACATGGGATGGGCACAGGCATGTTTGTGTCACCCTCTCCATCCTGCCCTTCTCCAGCCACTCCAGCAGCACTCAGGTCTTCACTTCTGAGACTGTTCTATATTGTCATAGAGCTCCTGGGCAGTACACCTTTCCAGATACCCAGCATGTGTTTTACTCCAATGAATTCATATCCTTTCATCCATTTTATATGTCTACACTCTTGTGGTCTCCTAGCAATCCTAGCTCCTGAAGACTTGAACTGTGCCCAGGAACTGGTCACCAGATAAAGGTGCCCTGGGCAGCTTGGTCTTCACTAATCCCACTGCCAGGTCCCTGGAGGAAAACACCAAGGATGCAGAGATAGGCGGCAGATGACTTCTGAGGCACAACAGGTTTTGGGAAATTTTATAAAAGGACGATATGGAGAGTAATTTTAATACAGGGCAAGGTCTTACCCACAGAGCAAACCCTTCAGGTATGCCCAAACAATTACCATAACTGCATATTAAGTCTTTTATCTGAGTACAAGCTGCTGTGCACCCTGTGAAAACCACCTGGACACGTTTTAGCACTTTCCAAGAGATTATGTAGGTTGCTTTTGATGTTGGTAAACTGCCACTATTGGAGGAACCTTCCAACTCGACATTTGAGAACAGAAAAATAAACTGCTTTATTAAGATAATAGGGTCACCAATATTAATGAGATGTAACCACTGATGATGGACAAGAGTCCATCTCTAATACTAGGGAAATAGTCACAGCCAACTTCATGCACTGCAGTTCTTCTAAAGCAGTTTACTCTCCACTGATCACAGAATCACAGAATGGCTGAGGTTGGAAGGTGTCCTGGTTTCAGGTTAAACCATGACAGAAGGGACCTCTGGAGGTCATCTGGTCCAACCCCCCTGCTCAGGCAGGGACACCTGGAGCCAGCTGCCCAGGACCGAGTCCAGGCAGCTTTTGAGTATCGTCAAGGATGGAGACGCCACAACCTCCCTGGGCAACCTGTGCCAGTGCTCAGTCACCTGCAGAGTGAGAAAGTGTTTCCTGATGTTTGAGAGAACCTCCTGTGTTTCAGTTTGTGCCCGCTGCCTCTGGTCCAGTCACTGGGCACCACTGGGAAGAGCCTGGCTCCATCTTCTTTGTACCCTCCCTTCAGGTAGTTATACACATTGATGAGATCCCCCCCGAGCCTTCTCTTCTCCAGGCTGAACAGTCCCAGCTCTCTCAGCCTCATCCTCAGCTGTGAGGTACTCCAGTCCCTTCATCATCTTCGTGGCCCTTTGTTGGACTCTCTCCAGTATGTCCATGTCTCTCTTGTACTGGGGAGCCCAGCACTGGACACAGCACTCCAGGTGTGGCCTCACCTGTGCCGAGTAGAGGGGAAGGATGCCCTCCCTTGACCTGGTGGCAATGCTTTGCCTAATGCAACCCAGGATACCATTAGCCTTCCTCTGGGCACCTTGATTTTAGGTGTCTGTGAAGTACCTTTCAGTGTGGTTTTGTGAATAACCTTTTTATGGACAAACAGTAACCTAACTTTATAAAGCTATGGTAAAGCAGAACCACCAAGTTAAATTGCAAGCTGCAACCCAGGATAACACAAGGAGAGAACTCTGTTGGACAGGACAGGGATTGCCAGCCCATTTCCCTCAGGGCACATGTCCAGATCACAAACCCCACAGTCACACGTGGTACTGATTCCCAATGACAGTTTCTGAGAGCACCATTATTAGTACACAATCTTAAAAACGCACACAAACTGAGGTGAGAAATTACTTTCTGTAAGAGGATACAGAAACACTGAATTAAAACAACAACCGTTGTATTTGAGAAGCAGCTCCATTTCAGGAATTGTGTGATCTTTGCCTGTGAGTTTCTAACATGCTCTGACATGAAAGACACTGTGAAACTGTAAGACAATATAGGCTACGAAAGAAGAGTGAAGTGATGGGTGCAATGATCTCATGAACCAAGAATGAAAATCATAGAATCATAGAATCATAGAATTATAGAATC